TCAGTAGTTAATCCGTCATTTTCATATACCATCCCAGAATCTTTGTGTGCGACGATTTTTTTTGAAGTATTTTACTTAGTGCAAGAAAATGCAAATAAGTTCATCCTAACAATTTGTTATTTGCATTTTCTTGCACTAAGTAAAATACTTCAAAAAAAATCGTCGCACACAAAGATTCTGGGATGGTATATGAAAATGACGGATTAACTACTGAACAGAATAATACACAATGTCTAGTCATGGATTACTCTCAACAAATTTTTCAAAATTATGCTTAACGCACGCATATCGAAAGTCTTCCACCCACTTCCAGTTTAACTACCAAAATTACACTTGTTTGCTGCCTTCTATTTGGCCTGAAAATCCTCGTTTTCGAAATCCTCCATGATCATATTACGTGTGCAATATTATGCTGCGTTCTGCCGCTTTAATTTAAGATAAGTATTAAGTTACGATTAATGAAAAGGTGCAGTATCTCAATGGGAAAACTAGAGAATTCCTTTCTTGGAAGACACTATGACATACTACACATATATATTTTTATACAGATTTGAGTGGACGGATACCTGTAGAATATCCTAAATTCAGGTCTAGAATATTTTGCTATACACTGAGCCACCTTAAAAAACTACTCATAATAAGCACTTAAATTTAAAATGTTGCAAAATTAAGGCCGATACCTTCTGCAATATCTTGGCTAATCGTCTGCTTTCTAGAGCCTTAACAAGTTCTGCAGGTAAATTATAAAATATCTTCAATCATAGAAGCATGTAAAGAATGTCTAAACATTAAACTTCATCCAAACATAATGAATTAGAAATTAGTCTGATTATGAGGCTTTGAAATTAACTCGAATTTAGCAGGGACCATGAAAAATCCGATACACAGGTGATCCCGAATAGATAAACAACTTTACAAGTAGATACATTTTTAAGCTATTTACCTATTTTTTTTTTAGCATGATTTTCATTAAACTCTCTATTTTATGTACAAACTTAATTTTGGAAACTTAGTTATTACAGTCGTCGAAAAAACAATTCTTATATCAGGCTTATTTCCATGAAATGGTATATTCCATCCACTAATACATAGTCTCCAAAATGATTGGGTTCTCTGCCGTTCGGAACTGAAAGTGAGAGAGGAAGCTGTCCACAGGAACAATATTACTTCCATATTACGACTATTATACTAAACTGCACACCTTCTAAAAACCTAGATTTAAAAAAAAGGTAAGAAAGAGCGTTAGAGTTGTAACAATTTCCTATTTTTTTAATATGCGCTTTGAAAAGCCAATAGGACTCCCGTTTCATAATCGAAAAAATTTTCCCTTTGAGAATGTAGTCGATAATTTAGTAGTCTCACTACTTATCTCCCATTTGACATTCAGGTTTAAAAAAACACTGGTGCTAAAGCTGATCTGATATAAAAAAAAAAAGTAGATCGACGTAAATGTACCGCTTTATGTGTACGAGAAACTAAATAGAGACTCGCTGACAAAGCATTTAAACAAAAAGCTGCAATTGAACATAGCCTTGCAAGCATACAATTTTTAATAGGCAGAAAATTCGATACGTTATATTTGACGACTGATTCATATGGTACATAAAAGGAGCTGATTACAACCTTTTAACTAGAAAAGATATTTTTGGACATCCTGACATCTATTAACCACTTTTTTTAATGTAACCTCTAAGCACGGGCACTGTTTTTATCACTTTTTACCTTCTACTTCTGTTTACTCATAATTATTTTTCCATGTTATGTTATCAACTAAACAATATTATTCTATACCTAGGTATTCTCTGGTTATTTGGTTACTATCCTTTATTATTCTTGTATTGTATTTTTTCGAAAATTAACTGTTTTTCTCGTTCGTAGTATGACGTAAATCATGTTATGTTCAAGTGACACTTGGCAGTGTTTCGGTCTTAACATATGCTGGGAAGCTAAAAATAAAATATTGCACAATGAATATTATAGGTTGCTGAAGTCCAATTAGGTTTTAATACGAGCTCCCAAGATTTATATTTGAAGCAAGAAGATTTGCGACCGAGTGTTCTTGCGACTTCGAAAAGCGAAACTAATATTTCAGAAGTATCTAAATAATATGAAATGGCATTCTTTACTTTATACAGTTTTGAAGTTTAGATTTCACGCAAGCGTTCTGTTTTTCTATTGCATTATATCCGCTAACCTGTGGCGGTTATTTCGGTTACTCCTTTGTTGTTAGATTGACGCATTTCTTCCATCCAAATTCCATCCATTAGTTTGTTCACGTTGATCCACTGCATGATTCTTATTATTTTATTACCTTGCTGGCTGGAGTTATTTCGTTATCCTCTTTTATCTTCAGTTCTATTTCACTGTTTCATTCATTCTTTTCAGACTAATTACGTCTATATTTAGGTATTCTGCAGCAATTCTCAAAGTATTCTCCATCTTTTATCTCCTTGTTCTGTTGCGATAAATTATTTTTATTCTAATATAATTGTTCTTTTACCCTTCCAAGCATACCCCATGCTAGCACCAAGAAATGACTAACCCCTCGTTTCAAAATAAACCTTAGCTTAATCCTAATAATTCAGTGAAAATGAGAAGCCGCTTGAAAGACCGACCAACTAAATGAGGGGAAAACACCAAAAAAGCAATAGGAAGTTATTAAAAGTTCTCAAACTTGCTATTTTTTTTTAATCTAATCTTATATCTTTTGTGTATGACTTAAAAATTGAACAATTTGTCTAATGAACAGTCAAGTCTAACGAAAAAAGTATGAGAGCATAATTTGCGGGCTAGTTCAAAGAGCATATACTAGTGCAGTTAGATATTTTTGAATGGTACTCTTATTGAGATCTCGGCACAAACGTCTTTTTTCATGGAGTGAAAGTCCAAAACTTGTCACATAGACCCCACACTTGTACTTCAAAATTCTTTCACACATTGCTCCGTAAGGTCAATGATTTTTTAGTTATTCGAAGTTCCGCACTGTTTTTGGCCTTTTTCGACCATGATGGTGTCGAGGTATATTTACCATAAAACTTGAGCTTCGGTTGCATCCTAAATTTTTTATAAATAACAAACAATAGTAATGAGAGTCCATATCCCCTAACGAGTGTCTTTTTGCTAGCGATATTTCGTTGACGACTTCCGCAGTCTATAAAAGAAAGTGGTCAAATTTCGTAGTCTCTTATTTTTTTCCCTACATTATCCGTCTAAGATGCAAATCAGAAAGAAACTTTCCATCCTACATCACGCATTTTCCCGTCATCTCGTTGTTTTACGAGCCTGATGAGAGATGCAAGTGCTTCACGCGTGTTGAAAATTATGAGAGATATTATGCCTTCTTTTGACTCTGTACCACCTTGAAAAAGCTTGGCAAATTGTTCAAATTTATAAATTCCAATAGATTCGTACAATCTAAATGAGCAATGTATCTTGCTCTTTTAAACTGCGTCTATAACGTGTTCGAATACTTTCAAAAAGGCAAATAAATGAGGTTTGATACATTCTTTTCTTTACTCTATGTAAAATGGAGAATTAAATGTATTTACATATGGGAGGCAATAAATCAGAGTGTGTTTTAATAACAAATGCTTGGTGCAGACGTATTTCTGAGGACGCAAGTGGAATGAGAATAGCATTGCTTGTCATATTGGCTTACCTCTTGCGATGCCACAATGAAACATAGCTACTTAGTTCATGCTCCATTATTAGGTTTCTGTCTTTATGCTTCACGATTTAATGCGGATACTACAATTACCTGTACAGCCACATTAACCCCACTATGGTTTCATGCATCAATATAACTGAAAAAAAAAACGTTCATCACGCCGAACCATGCGTTCTCATGTTATATAAGCACAGCCAATGGCTGGCGCAGTTCGCAGGCAAAACTTTTATATGTACGAATATTGTTTTAAATATATCCACCTAAGTGTATGAAAGATATGTGTATCACAATAACATTTTTAACTATGCCGTGCGTACGGAGGAGGTTATTCAAAGCCTATAAGCGCCTATAAAGTGAAATTTAACTAGGGCATTAGGCCAAGCCAGACTTTATTCAGTTTAGAAGCACTCAACAGGGGAAAGCTTGAAGAGTCTATGCTGAAGTCAGGAATCCCTGATTTCCGCAAAAAATTACTACAGAAATAATTTACTCTTAGCGCCTGGTGATACCATTACTTTTCACTCATGTTAGACATATTTTTAATTAAGGAATATTTTATTACTGCATGCATATCTACGTCGGAGATCCTCAAAAAATGTTTTCTCAAGGTAATTGATAGCTGAGAAAGTTAGTCTTCGTATCGCTTTCTTGGCAACCAGCTGGTTCCGTAGTCTATTTCTTTGTTGTATAGTGTAACTTCGTATACAATCATACCCTAGAACTGTGTTGAACATCAGAGTGATTCGGTTTCACTAACTGGCTATGATCGTAATCATTGATAAGAAATGTACGCGCCGACACACCAGTACCGGCTGATTGGTATTGCGATCAAGGCGCGTGAGGTAACCGCTTTTAACACCCTATACGATACTTGACAAGTGACGTATGTAGCAAGAGATGAAGCGCTTAGAGTGTCAAACGAATGTTCTGTAGTGCTTTCAAAGTGGTGATTCATGCCGCTAATTGTATGGGATGTATCGTGCGCAAGGTACACAGCGATATCAAAGTATGGCTGGTGAAGGTCTAAAACTTGTCACACCACACCTGGAGTATTCTCGTACTAAAATATTCTAGGAAATTGCATTGTATGCGATGTACGCACATAGAGCATCAGGGCTGGCTGAGTTTTAAGGAACTTTAGCTTGTCTAAAGCAGACTGGCATCCAAATCTGCGGATCGCGTTTTCGCTTCCGGCTGAGCGATATACCAGGCCACAATCTGTGAGCGTAGCTGTTGTCTCGCTTTGAGAATATCCGTGTTTGACTTTATCGGAACATTTTATGAGAACTGTATGAGCAAATATGTCGCACAGAAGTAGAATACAAACGCAATTCGAGCTCACGAATAAAATATGATATAATCTGAGCACAAGTGAGTGATATAATCTGAGTGTCAAGAAATTACGAAATTCGAAAGAAGATATAGAGACTTGATATTTCTACGGAAGCAGTCGAACTTTTGAGAGGCGTGCGATTTTTAGAAAGCTCCTGAGCTTTTGAATCATAGTTTCTGTAGGTCAAAACTCTCCAAATAGGTACCAGATTCCGAAGTACGTTACAACATAGCGGTTAACAGACCGCTTTACACGTAATCTAGAGTCTACGCTTCTGTTTGTAGGAACTTATCGTTAGAGGCGTAGGTTCGCTGCTTTATGCATAGGTGTCCGTCAAAGTTTAAGCGATTATGGCATGACACAGCGGTGCAGTTATTTAAGGCGTTTTGGTGTTTTTTACCAATAATTCGGAGGTTCCCGGTGGAACTATCCCTTGCTATTCTATCAACAAAGCAGTCCATGCTAACTCTTTTTTTAGCTTTCCGTTCGCTTTCCGAACGTTGAACCAACCAGACATCAGACTGAGACTTGTCACGAGAGCGAAGTGCAGTTTGGTTCTCACGAGATCGTTCTGGGTACCAGCACTAAAGCTGGAATGGAGGACGAACGAGCGCCTAAACAAAAATTGGCCATGGTAGTAGCACCAATGGGCAACGCGCACTAACGCGCCTGCGCAAGACAACATTGAGTTGCGGTGTCTATCGTGTATAGTGAGACGTGTATACTACAATACCCTGTGGCATGGCTGGAATTCGATGAGCGCTATGGCGTTCTCGTCGAACGAGGAGAGTTAGTCTTTGGGTAATATTTCAAAAAGCAGTGAATGCAGTCGACAAACATTGGCAAGGTTTTTGACGCGACTGATTTGCCCACAGCTGCCGTTACGGCTACACCTGATGCAGCTATTGCTGTCCTAAGTCGTGCCAAGATATCTCAAAACATAAGTACCTGTTGAAACAAAGCGGAGCAGGTAGAACAAATTGTTTTAACCGAATGCAAGACTTTCCGCACACACTTGAGACTAATCGCTACTCTGGCTTAGAGATTATTATGGCCGGTCAAGAAAGGGCAGCGAGCTCGTAACTGATATCAGCCGAGACGTAAATAATGTGAAGCTGACGGCTGAACTCTGAATGAGCGCAAAATGAATACTAGTACAGCCAGCCAATAGACGAATTTTCGAATATATCGCTTGGATTGCGTGCGGATAAGTCACCGACGGTACCAGTAAGCGATTTAAGGGTTCTTGCTTATGAAAAGTATCTTCTAAGCTTCTTCGAAAGCTAAGAAATATCTATCCAAGTTATCAAATGGCATGAAGCATAATCGTACACACACATGCACGCGAGAACATTTACTTGACCTCGCAGTGTTGGCCGAAAAAATATTCTGACGAAAGCTTTTCCATATTACGCACTGTTGAAAAAAGGGCGCGTTTGAGATACGGCAAGCTTTAAACAACGATACAGGTCCTGCCAGATTTACCCTGGGTGGATAGTGTAAAGGCTCGACTGATGGCTGAACCGCAGATGTGTGCGCCGCGGATGTTCACACCTACGCGTTCCAAGCAGCTATAAGGTTCTAACGCTTTGGTAAAATACGCGAATATTTTTAAATTTTGATAACGCAGTTACAAGTTACAGTATACCAAACGATGTGTATTTTTTTGCTTTCTAGAAAAAAAAAAGGCATGTAACTCTGTATGAGGTTCGAAAAGGGAACATCCAGAGATGACGTTGACGTCATTGTTCTTCTTGTTATTAGTTCAATGCTTGAGTCCTTAATCTCGTACTAAGAATTTCCCGAAAAAAAAAATAGTGTAGTGAATCTGACTGACCACCGCCGACAATAGAGATCCTTAAATGTTTCCGAGATGTATGCTCGGTCCTGCCTATCCAGTAAGCCTTTCCAGAGCCTCTTCCATTCGGCAGCCTCAAGAAGCTAGCGAAGTTTGGCTGGTCACAACCAAGCACCGCAAACAGGCCTCTCCCATACGGTGCTTTCCCCAGAAAGGCGGACAAGGTCATTGGGTTCTCTAAGACAGTTGCGACGCAAGCTCGGGTTCCATTCTGTTTCGGTTGGTCACACCAATTGTATCGTTTACGAAGACCACTCGAGGACACAGTCACCCCCTTAAAATGCCCAAGCACTGGAAAAGACCCTTGACCCAGATGTACAAAATCAACTATAACTACGGAACTTCGCTGTACTCAAACTGTCTGGACGAGTTGGACCGCAAAAGCAATAACCGCCTAAGCGGAACCTACGACTATGGAAGCGGAAGTTCGTGCAGCGAGCGCCATATCCGAACCGCCAACCAGCTAATGGAGGAGCTGAAGGCTGAGGGCGATGCTTTCGTGGCTGATCAGAAGCACAGTAAGTTGACGCGTTCATTACATGTGCCTTCGTGTTGAATCAATATCACGAATTTGCGTTCCAGTTATAGCCAGACATGTGGATAGAATCTCAATGTGTTATTGAAATACGTCCTGTACACATGCTAAGTGATGTGTCGCTACCTAACGCAGAGACTGTTCCAGTGGATATGACCGTGCTAGCTCTAACATTCGAAAAGGTGGCCTCTTCGGCGGATCTGTATTGATTCAGTGTCAGAATTGGAGCAGCGCATTCGTCGCATTAAATAGAGTATATCAAGTATCTTCAAGGAGTGACGGAGATGTATTGTAAAGCGAAAGAGTATTTCTTTTTTTTCACCTTCTTGCCCGACACACGTCTAGAGTCTATCGACATACGTCTATTTGTATATAGATGCAGACTCTAATCAATGCTAAGGATGAAACAAAGATTTAGGTCCAAGACAGTCCACCGAGGATTTCAACAAGTAATTGTGAAGAGGAACTTTTCCGATGAATAACGTTGACACCATGAGCTGTCCGTGGTATGCGGATCAACTTTTGGCGATGTTTCATACGTAGGTTTGGCATCTTCAAAACAGTAACTTGTATTATTTTTGCTTTACTGTATCATCTATGAAAACGCACTTGATACTCCAACGGGCCAGCAACACCCTCGCACCTGTGTGGTGGCCCAGCAGAGTCATAAGGTGACCAAAAGGGGTTATTGATCGTTTCAAGTAAGTCCACGTAGGCTTCGTCTGGCCTTGTCATGCTCGCTACGACCTTTTTTGATGAGGCTCTTCTTTTTTTATGCGATAAATGGTACCTTTCATCTTTTTGTCGAATACCTTTCGTTTCACTGGAATGACTCTTCGTTTGTTTCCTCTACGCAGTTCATAGTTGCACCCCTGACGTGTTGTTTACATCAGTTTAACAGTAACATTCCAGAGTAGCTGGTATGTAGTTTACCGTTCGTCATTGTCGTATACGAGTAAAATTTAATTAGAATGCGCGGTCAGATGATTTTATAAGGTAGATTACGGTGGTGGTCATCGGCAGACTAACCAAGGTATGCGCTTTAACCTCGTAATAAAAACGTGTCTATCGATGACTAACTAGTAGTAAGAACGGAAAACAAATGTATTCCTGGTTGAAGCCACTGGAAACGAGCACGTATTGCTCGCGCCTACAGTTATGCTGAACTTTTTATGTTTTGTTTACTTTGCCGTGCCGCCTGCGGCGAAAGCAGTCAGCCCCTGTACAAAGCTACGCTGCTAGTAGAGCTATCAGTTTTTTTTTCTTGATCTTGCAGTCCTCTTCTCTGACCTACGGAGATGTCTCAGGTCATGATGATTCTGTTCGTTGATGCAACCTTGGCCGCATTTGAGGCAGAACAGAGGTTTTTCCACCTGAAAGCCCGAGGAAGGCTGGGTTGAACGAAAAATCGTATAGACCCTAAGGGCACTACATCTAGGTGGCGCAATAGGCACTCCGCTATAGGCGTCTCTAATGCGTGTGAAATGACACGTATCGATTATTAGTTCCGTCCATGCTCACAAGTTTAAGTAGTCACCCGTGCCCTGACCGGTATTATATCAGGTGGCTGCGTTAGAATACTTTTTTCAACGTTTTTAAAAGCTAAAATGGTAGCTTGGCTAGAGCTTGACCCAGGGAAGGCTTAAGAAGACAAGCTGCAAGGCCTAGACGGCATTCCTTTGTAAGGGCCTTGCAGCCTTCGAAACGCTATGCGCCGCTCGTAAGGTACTACGACAATAAGCTGGTATTAGAATGCCATGAGGCCGTGTTGCACGCTAGAACCAGTGCAGTATGGCCTCAAGGTTTCTCTTTTCAGGACAGCTACTTAAATGACGGAATTAAATAGCAAGAAGTTCGTTTTTCATTTAGCCTTGTCGTCCATATTGTGCTACGGATAAAACATTTTAGACACGTAATAATCTTTCAATAGTTAGCCAAGTTTATTATCTTAGGGACATGTATTTCTCCAGTCTTCAGCAACGAACCAAACTTTCGATTTGAATCAATAAATCAAGTCATAAACCGGAAAGAGAAACTGGGAAGATCTTTCCATTGAATCATTCAAAATCATCGTTTGGCGATTGGTGGGGTCGACCTTGAGTGTCCCTTTTTATCTAGAAATATCAATCGAAAAACTGCTTAAGGTGTCATATGATAAAGTACTTTAAGATGTTTGACAATGGTTAGCATAAGCTGCAACCTTGTATGCATTAAGCTTAACAGTTATTGCCTTCATTCTGGATACACAAGACCATGCTCTTGGTAACAGTGTTTCGGTTTCCACTGCGGCGGGTCTGGTCTTTGACATACAGCGTTTGACACGACTGTGGCGCACTACCTTTATCGGCTTAGGGCAACGTTAAAAGGAAGGGGTAAAACAGAAAGGCCCGACAAGCCACGTGTTAAAGACGGCCACATAATAATATTCAGATCCTAACATATCCGTATAAACGTCTCGTTATATAGTTCATTTGTTTGAACAAAGCAGTACTTTAGAAGAGTCACTACACTGAATCATAACCGCCGCCTTCAGCCTAGGATGATCTTTGCGGTTACTTTAAAACACAATATTCTTGTAGTTAATTAGCTGTCTGGATGCATGATCTGTTACTACTTTGATTTGAAAGGCTCATGTCACAACGACTCAACTTACATTACAAAACGTAAAAAATCGAAATTCCTATGACTTTCTCTAAAAAAAGTTTCTGAAGAATGACTTCTGCATAAATCATAGTCGTCAGCTAAGCGCTGCAGCGGCCCACTTTTTTTGCCGCTACATTATTCTCAATGCTATGTAGGAGCCTAATGCGCAGGCTGGCCCTATCTGGATTGCGCTAACTCAAGAGAAGTTGTGATGGGATTTCATTATAGTTTGTGTTTTGCCGAAACCTTGTTGCTGCAGCAATCTGAATACTATCACACTTAGTTTGAAGTCCTTGATTTAGGGCTGGCCGACGGCTTCGTTGACCTGTCACTATCGCCAGGTGTTCTTGTTGCGTTCTTCATGGCTTTCATGAACGTACGGAGTAATCGTCTTTGTGAGCATCTTCGTTTTTTCTGGCAAAATTGTACTAGCGACGTATTATTATTATATATTATTATAATATAAACATATTAAATTTAAAACATATCTTAATTTATCAGAATTTCAGAGATAGCTTGCACCGATGACATGACTAAAGTAATAAAGTCTCATACCTCTACCGTGCCATTCGCTGTTCGACATGCTCTCACGATATGTTTCGTTATCTTATCATCATCGTTACCAATCTTTCCCATTGTCGCCAGGCTCAACGTTTTCAAAGCTATCGACAATGTCATAGCACTCCATTACTGGAAAAACGCCTCTGACATTCACCGTTGGTTACTTTAATGTTGGTTATGTGTTGATTAATTGCAGACACGACGACAGAGATCGCTGCGGTATAGACGCGGATGATGCTAGATGCGGTTTTCGATCAGCAGCAGGTTTTTTTTTCGAGTTTTAATTAGCGACCGTTGTCAAACCAAATGCCCCAATAATAATATACCTTAATAATAATCATCGTTCCCGTTTGTCGATTTCTCAAAACAGTAACGAACGTCACAAATTTAAGGTCTAATAAGGCAAAATAAGTAGTATTCTAGTTGCTTACCTACCCTACGTTACTTCTAATATAAAATCGTCTACTACATGTACTATATGTTTGCTGCTTATCTAATATCGTACAGGCGGTCCAATAACATATATACATATGTATGTATATATATATATGTATATATATATATATATATATGTATATATATATGTGTATATATATATACACATATATATGTGTGTATATATATATATATACAGCTTGCGCTCTAAACCTTAACTGCTGAATAAGGGTGTGTTGCGAAAGCCGTATTTGTCTACTGTAAACACCCCCTACACCTTAAGGAAAGACGCATACAATTATGAGCCTTGTAAGAGACCCCAAACTATTTTCGATTGCCTACATACTTCGTATTCCTCTGTTATAGCATAGCTTCACAATAAAGATCAAAACCAGCCCAGTGAATTTAGAGCGCCGACGCCTCGAAAGATGAGAGGAAGAGGGCGCGAATGAAGAAGGTTATTTTTAACTTATTTATGGAAACATAATAGAACAGCTCCATCAAGCCGTTATCGGCTAAATTCAATGATTTATCTGTTAATTCATCAATGGGCTGCATTTGAAATGCAGTAAAATTGTTTTACTGTCAAAGTTTATTCCCATTCAAAAATACAACGACAATTTTGATAAAAATATTGCCAACTCACGATATATTTCTACAATGTGGTGCCGTTACCACTGATGTCAGTGGTAACGGCAAGCTTCCTACACATTTAATTTCACGGTAGCCAGCGCAAAAGTGATTTTTTTCTTCAATTTCAGCCAGTATCACGGAGGATTTATTCGAATATATCCATAAATAAGCAATTGATCTGTTTCATGTGCCCCATCTCGTCGATTACAATAACATTAATTATACGACATCTGTTTTATTAAGAAGTCTGAATATATTACTAAGCACGAAATGCAGATCAAACATTGGCCTGATTACCAACGATTATTTATATAGCAACGCGCTGCAGTCGTCAAAAAGAATCTATGTTATTTACTACATCGCGTATAGACATGATTGGCTGAACTGTTTCGGTAAAATAATCGTTATCTAAAGTACGTCAATCCACAAATTGAGAGATTTACTACGCAGCCTTAAGCGATTTCATTAAGGGACCATTACATACTTAAGAGTCTATAAATACACCTTCCTTTTTTAAAAGGCCATTCAAATGATAGAGGTACTGGTATCAAATGTTTTGTTCCGACTCTTGAATGTTGCTCGGTTTGTTGTAAAGCATCGATGTGTGCATGTTCGTGGCAAATATGCTTAATAAGCCAAGCAGACGTTTCGAGTGGAAGCTCTAGGGACCTAAATTCGTTTGACACTGACCGAAAAAACTAAGCTTTCATAAATTTTTTTTACTTTATTACAGCAGACGAACTTATCGTGAGGTCGATACAGCAGGTCCAGGCTCGTCGAAAGCGTATCCTGCACTCAATCGAAGTTTAATAACCGGAGACGAAGTAACTTATAACATTCTCCCCCCATCCCCCTATAAATTAAGTTACGAATATCAGTCATTCGCTACTCGTAGCTTCCCTTTCTTAGTGCGGCCTTTATCTATTACCTAGCTAATACGATGATGGCGAGAACATGGTCTTTGTTAGACCATAGAAATTAAACACGGCTCATCTAAATTTCGATCTTAGTCAAGTGTTCGGCGACAATCGGATAAAAATACATTCATCCAAGAACAATGCTATCATAACGAGATACGTAACGGCGTTAGGGTAAGCATGACAAAAGGTGATCGGGAAGTGCACACTATTTAGCTTTTGCGCCAAGTGATTTAAGCCAAAAATGAACAATTGGGCAGTAAAAAAGAGAAAAAAAAAAAACACAAGAGCTTCTCGCGATATGCTCTGTACAGACATTAGTTTGTTTCACATACATACCTCACACGCATAGATGCGTATACCGTCATATATTGGTAATACGAACAAATAATACAATACCGTCATCTCGGATAGTGGTATCTAAATATAACCTGCTGAACTATAGGTGAAAGAGCTATTGAATTGAAACTAAAAGACCTGAGAGGAAATAACGACAGAAACGGGCGCAGAGTACCAAGATTCGATTTGTTTTGAAGTGGTGAACAGGGCAGTATTCGAGGGCCTGATCGCAATATGGTATATGTATAGAGTCATGTAAATAAAAATATAAAAACCAACCGACAGCGGATAATCAACATGTTACACGCCCCACGATCGATCATGGAAAAGAAATAAAGCGATGGAAACAGCTGATACCAGTTGAGCTGAATGTTAGTGCTTCCCGTTTTAGGTAAATCTACAAATATCGAGGGTTAATTCGAGCTATATTCATTCATAAGTATATGTCATTGATAGCGGTGATACGCGCAGACTACTCACTCTGAAAAATCGTTAAGTCTGCTGCTTCGATCTTCTGGTAGGCCGAACGTTTAAACGAACGACGTTGATGCAAGATAAACTGGAAAAATTGGTGCTGAGTTCTACTAGAAATCGCTTTAGATTTGTGCCATTTCCGTTGTTTAGCTCGGACTTTACGTGTCCTCTTCACCAGCTTTCAACATGCCATGCCTAGGAATTGAACAAAAAAACCTGTCATAGTAAAATAACTGACAAGCTTTTCTAAAGGATTTGATACTAATAACATGTGGTGTCTCGATTTCTCAGGAGAAATACGCCAGCCTTTGTTTACTGTATATTTCACATTATATATAT